ATCCCTGTAGTCAAAGTCAATTCTCTTCTTGAAAGGAGATTTTATGAAACCAGAAATCAAATCCTAGCTCTTTCACCTACTAGCTGTGTGATTTCAGGCAAGCCCCTTAACTCTTCAACACCTCAGTTTTCCTGCCTGCAAAATATAAAATTTATTTTCCTATCTGAAAATTAATAGTGATAGAAAGTGTAGGTGGGACCCTCACTTTATGGCAGGACCAATACATAGGTTCTCTATTAATCATAAAAATAATCCTTTGAAGAAGATGCTGCTGTTGTTTCCATTTTACAGATGGGGAAACTGAGACGTGCTCAGGGTTGCACAGGAAATGGTGAACCCGTCTTTGAACCCCAGCGGCTTGAATCCAGCCCCCAGGCCCTAAGGGCTCTGCCTCACTCCCTGAGTTGGCTGAGATGAGGCAGGCGGGCAGGGTAACCAGCACAGGCTTGGTACACAACGGGCCGGCTTCCTCTTCTCGGGGTAACTTGTACTGGTTAGTCGGGTGCATATCGTCTCATCTCTTTATTTATATATATTTTTGGGGACAGTGACTCTTATTCATCTTTTTTTCCTGTGCAACAAAGAAACAGAATGGTACGGAGGAAGCCTACTTCCCTCTGTTTTGTGTGCCACAAACCTACACAATTTTTGTGCCTGTTTAATCCCCACAGTGAATAATCAGCTATCCATTCAGCACATGATAAAAATGTAGCGAGCAGTGGCTGACGGACAGATGGACGAGCACGTACTACTTTCATTAGCTCTCGTTGTTGGTGTGCAGTCTGGTCATCCTAGCTCAGCCGTGTGTGCTGTGAGAGTGAGGCGCCATTTCTTTTCTCTCTCTCGCCCATGACATTGAGTTGACTCCCGGGAGCACCAGAGGAGGAAGGTGGGCAGTTCTGCAGAGACAGCTTTGGTCCCATTATTTGAGGTTTTTCTTCTGTGCTTCGTTCCCCCCAGTGCTGAACGTTCCCCTCACGTCGTGCCAGAGGGTGAATTGGTGGTGCTTCTGGGAGTGTAAGAGGCTCGGTGATTCAGACCTGGAAAACCACGAGAACGGAGTGTGCCTGCCGTGGCCCACTCACGTCAGGGTTGTTTGTTTGCAAAGTATTAACTTGTACTTTTTAACCTGGGTAAAATGTATGTGTGCTTTAAAAATAGTATTTTCTAATCAAATGAATAATCATATCTGACTTGACTGTTTATAGTTCATGATGCGTGATCAAAACCGAAAGTTTCTGTGATGACTGCCCTTGCACTGTTCACCATGTGAGAACTTACTCACCATGTAAGAACCTGTTCACCATGTAAGAACTTGTTGGTTATGCTTCAGAAGATTGGAGACTGATGAGAATTAGGCTTGGGGTGGATTAATGATTGTGCATTGAGTCCCCTATACAGAATTTTATTGTTGTTAACAACCATTTGATCAATAAATATGAGAGATGCCCTCTCAAAAGAAATAGTATTTTCTTTATTCCCTGTAATTTGGGAATATTACTTAACTTTTATTGTGGTAAAGTATGCACAACATAAAGTATATCATTTAACCCTTTTCAAGGATGCAAGTGAGTGGCGTTAAATATATTCACCATGTTGTACAACTGTCATCGCTCTTCGTTTCTAGAAAGTTCTCATCATACCAGACAGAAACTTTGTACCCATTAAACTGCTGTTCCCCATTGCTCCCTCCCCATACCCTCTCTTCTATTTTCTGTCTCTGTGAATTTGCCTATTCTGGTACCTTCTGCCAGTGGAATCATATAGTATCTGTTCTTTTGTGACTACCTTTTCTCACTTAACATGTTTCCAAAGTTCATCCATGTTGTAACATGCATCAGGATGTCATTCCTTTTTAAGGTTGAAGAATATTCCATTGTATGTGCAGACAACATTTTATTTGTCACTTCGTTTACCTGTTCGCCTGCTGATGGACACTTGGGTTGTTCCCACCTTTTGACTATTGTGAATAATGCTCACATCAGTGTTTTTAAGAAAGAAGCAAACTTATGACCATGAAACATTAATGTATTTTTGCTACATAGTTCCCTAGCTCACAGAACATAAAGAACTATAATAAGCAAAAGTATAAACAAACCACAAGAACAAAAACACACTTCAAATGCAGAGGATGAGGAGCATTGCTTTCACGAACAGCATTAAATGAGCATTTGCAAAAGGCCCAGGATGAGGCTAGCGTGCAGCCTGATTTCCCAAGCATCCCGGGAGGTCTTCCCAGCAGAGGGGGGATGAGGCCTAGAAAGGTAGCTTTGTCTGCAGGGAGATATGGTTGGTGCCATGGGAGGTACCAGAAGGTCTTTGGGCCTTTTGAGGCAGGGACTGAACCCCTCTGGGAGGCTGCGCTGAGGAGGTGGCAAATTTTGGCCCAGTGATAATAAAGTAGAGGGGGCATGGGCTTACGGTAAATTCCTAGCTCAAATAAAAATTCTTTTTTGCTAAACTCAGCTTATATATTTTTTACTTCCTGGACCTATCCTGAGGGCTTTGGGCTTCTCTGTTCTCATTACTCTAAGCTGTGAAGCAGTCTTAGGCCTGCATTTAAACAACCCTGTTACTCCAATTTACTCTGTCTCCAGCAGGTGCCTTGAATTTGCTTGGTCTCAGTCAGCCTTCTGGAAGAACTGCTTCTCTGGGGGTGATCGGGAGCTCAGCTCTCAGTCCTCTTCAGCCCACAGTGTGGACACAGACTTGGGATCACACTGCCTGCCCAGGGGTGGCACGCCGTGAAGTGGAGAGTGAACAGCGCCAGCCCGCCCCTAGCTGTGCCAACTTAAGGAACTTACTCCACTCCCCTGACCCTCATGTGCCACATGAAGGGGCTGGGTGACCTCCATGGCCCTTTCCAGCTCTACAATTATGATTGCCCATATTGTGATTTGATTATCTTCCTCCAGCACTTTTGGAGTACAGGACTCAGCAGTCTGATAGTTTTTGCTGTTGCTTTTAAGGAAGCCTGAATATTTTGCCGTCACAAGCTAGTGTGTGTTCCACAGCTAAACAGTTTTGACAGTCCGGACCCAGCTGGACTTAGGCTGAGACTGACCAGATCTCTCTGCATTGTCCTCTTTCAGGGAAGCAGCCTGGCACTGGCTGGCCAGAGGCATCCCAGGCCATGTCAGAACTTAGAGCCTGGTGAGAGGCAGCAGCTGTCACCCCGTGGTGTTCCTGCCCGACTTCAAGATGCTGAGCCTGAAGCTCCCCAGGTTGTTCAGCATTGACCAGATGCCCGAGGTATGTGCTTTTCCACCAAAGCTTGAGTTCCATGCTGACCTACGGGCATGGCCTCTGTTACAGCCACTCCTCTGTGTTCAACCAGTCTGTTCTGCAAAGGCCTTTCTCTTCACGGAGGCTCTGTCAGACTCCTTTGGGGAGTTAGAACCTCCTGTTTCCTCCACCTACCCCAAAACTGGAAATGGAAGTGATCCTGAAACTGTGAGGTCATCACCCTTCCCTGTGACATTTGTATTTTATTCCAAGCAGTCATTATTGAGTGAGATTACAGGTTCTGGCCGAGGAGATGAAGCTCCCAGCACCTGGCTGGGTGGAAGTTGCTTTCTGGACCCTCCCACAGGCATTTGGACGCAGCCAGGGACCACGTCACCTGGGGTGTGGCTTTGTTGTCCTCACTTGCAGGAGGCCCAGGCCAGGCGTGGTGACGAGAGGAGCTGTTGAGG